TAGGAAAAATCTTTAAAAATCTTCTTCTCGAGAACCACTGGGCCAAGAAAAGATGAAACTCATGTGGAATCATCCTCAGGTAGTGTAGATTCAAGTTTGTTCAAATCATGACCCCCGGGGCAAGGGTGGGGCCAAAATGGCCGACCCTTGTTTTACATAGGAATATATAGGAAAAATCTTTAAAAATCTTCTTCTCCAGAACCACCGGGCCAGGAAAGATGAAACTCATGTGGAATCATCCTCAGGTAGTGTAGATTCAAGTTTGTTCAAATCATGACCCCCGGGGCTAGGGTGGGGCCAAAATGGCCGACCCAAGTTTTACATAGGGATATATAGGGAAACCTTTTAAAATCTTCTTTTCAAGTTCTTCAAAGCTATGATTAGTGATACATGTTTTGATATGGAATCATCCTCAGGTAGTGTAGATTCTAATTTGTTCAAATGATGAACGCCTGGAGGGGGGGGGGGATAAATTCAAGCCCGATGTGCTCAGGTGAGCGCTGTGGCCCCTGGGCCTCTTGTTAAATTTTACGGGCTTTTGTTTTCAAATTGATTTGGAGGCATATTTTGGACACTTTACGGCCTATGATCATCAAACTTTGTCAGTTGATGCATCTTGAGTCCTTAAACAAGGTCAGCTTAAAAGTAGGTCACCGTGACCTACTTTTTGAATTTTATGGCTCATCTTTTCTAAAACATTTAATCCCATTATTTCAGACACTGAGAGGTTTAGCTTCACCAAATCTTGTAAGCTGATATATCTTGGGGCCTTAAAACATATTTATGAAAAAGTAGGTCACTGTGACCTACTTTTTGAATTTTGCAGGCATTTGTTTTCAAATTGTTTAAAAGGCATATTTTGAATACTTTCAGACGTATGATCATCAAACTTTGTCAGTTGATGCATCTTGGGTCTTCGGAAAATGTCGACCAAAAAGTAGGTCACGGTGACCTACTTTTGACATTTTATGGCTATATTTAAGTATCTTAGGTACTTTGTGGCTTATAATCATCAAACTTTGTCAGTTGATGCAACTTGGGTTTCGGAACATGTCAACCAAAAAGTAGGTCACTGTGACCTAGTTTTGAATTTTATGGCTATATTTACTTATCCTGGGTACTTATTGGCCTAGAATTGTCAAACGTTGTCAGTTAAGGCATCTTGGGTTTTCGGAGAATGTCAACCAAAAAGTAGGTCACGGTGACCTACCTTTGACATTTTATGGCTATATTTAAGTATTCTCAGGTACTTTTTGGCTTATAATCATCAAACTTTGTCAGTTGATACAACTTGGGTTTTCGGAGAATGTCGACCAAAAAGTAGGTCTTTGTGACCTAGTTTTGACATTTTATGGCTATATTTCAGTATCTTATGTACTTTTTGGCTTAGAATCATCAAACTTTGTCAGTTGATGCAACTTGGGTTTTCTGAACATGTCAACCAAAAAGTAGGTTACTGTGACCTAGTTTTGAATTTTATGGCTATATTTACTTATCCTTGGTACTAATTGGCCTAGAATTGTCAAACGTTGTCAGTTAAGGCATCTTGGGTTTTTGGAGAATGTCGACGAAAAAGTAGGTCACAAGGACCTACTTTTGATTATCTCAGGTTCTTATTGGCTTAGAATCATGAAACATTGTCAGTTGATGCATCTTGGGCCCTCTGAAAATGTTGACCGAAAAGGAGGTCATGGTGACCTACTTTTGACATTTTATGGCTATATTTAAGTATCTTAGGTACTTTTTGGCTTAGAATTATCAAAACTTTGTCATTTGATGCAACTTGGTTTTTCGGGGAATGTCGACCAAAAAGTAGGTCACTGTGAACTAGTTTTGACACTTTATGGTTATATCTTAGGTAGTTTTGGGCCTAGAATTATCAAACGTTGTCAGTTGAGGCATCTTGGGTTTTCGGAGAATGTCGACCAAAAACAAGATCACAGTGACCTACTTTTAATTATCTCAGATAGTTATTGCCTTAGAATCATCAAACATTGTCAGTTGATGCATCTTGGGTCCTCGGAAAATGTCGACCAAAAAGTAAGTCACGGTGACCTATTTTTGACATTTTATTGCTTTATTTAAGTATCTCTGGTACTTATTGGCGTAGAATCATCAAACTCTGATAGTAGGTGCATCTTTGGTCCTCGGAGAATGTCAACCATAAGGTCACAGTGACCTACTTTAATATTTGAGGTACTTATTGGCTTAGAACCATCAATCTTTGTCAATTAATGCATCTTGAGTCCTCAGAAAGTTTCAAATCAAAAAGTAGGTCACCATGTTCTACTTATGATATTTTATAGCTATACTGAAATATCTTCAGTACTAACTGGCAAAGAATCATCAAACTTTGTCAGTTCATGCATCTTAGGATACTTAGAGTAAGAGGCTTCAAATAGAAGTGATAGATTGTACAATTTATCAGAAGAGCAATTCAAGGCCCTTGGGCCTCTTGTATTTATCATGATCTCTGTGTATATTTTTAGAGCTGCCCCAGAGTCCCAGTAGTGAGGTGTTTTCTGGGGGTGAGGACATGTCCAGTCCGAACCAGAACTCGACGGACGAGGAGAAACTCCTGAGTTCACTGGGTCGAGGTCACAGGATGGAGTTACCGGGGGCAACAGACGCGGAACAAAGTCCAGCGACATTTTCCCTGGACAACAGGTAGAGGTCTCTTTGTGAATTAAAAAATAGAATATGAACACATTTACATGACAAAAGTTTCGTAAAGCCAAATGAAACATTTTCCATCAGTGTTTAGAGCTTCTTTCAAATTACATATTAAATTGACATAAATTTTCTTTGCTAGGCCCTACCTGGAGGCAGTGTTTACTGCCTTGGAATGTACTGAGAATGATTACGAAGCTCTGTTTGCCCTGTGTCTTCTCTATGCCATGGGACACAATGAAGGTGGGTCGTAGAAGTATTGCTTTGATATTGAATTTAACTCGGAAAATTGTTAAAGCTTAACATGCTTCATAGACCTTATAGTTGCATTTGGACTTGCTTTGTTTGATTATACTGTAATATGCATATAAATTGCTTTGTAAGATGTTTACTTTCACAAGGGAGTAAGAAAATCATGCAACATTTGTCTTTTTTTAATGCTTCACAGAAGGTATAAAATGTTGTACTTGTGATCATTTATTGAAAGTTGTGATTGGATAGAAAATTTTATGTAACCATTAAGACTTTTCCAAATGTGGATCAAGTACAGTGTAATTCAAATTAAGAGATATCACCAATGATAAATCCTTTCCCACATTGTAATTTTTTTTCCATTCAGGGATTTATGTTCCTTCATGTGCATGTGAACAGCTGGAAAAGTCTTATTCATGTTGTGTGTATTTAGGCCTATTCTAGGGTAAAAGTGACTCTTTCTTTCTCACAAAGTTTTCTTATACATTTGTACATGTATGTGTGTTTTGAAAATTATGGCAGTTATTTGCATGAGGTGCTGACTGCTCTATTTACAAATAATCTTTGCAGCAGCTTTAAGAATACACTATCATACATAATCTGCATTTATGTGGTCCCTATTTTTTTTTAATCTTGTATTTTATAAAAAAAAAAGTGAACAGTTTTGTATATATGTCTGGGTATTTTTCTTAGAAATTTATACTCAGACTAATCCACGTACCATCATTTGATGTGATTTTTTTTTCTTTTTTTATATCCATACATTTACTAAATTTTGAATACGTTTAACATTTATATTTATAATTTGTAGGTATTCACCAGGAATTGATGGATTCTGTTTTATTGCCCACAGAGAGGAGTGAAGTATGTACTCAGTTTCTTCTTACTATATAGAAGATGTAGATGTTAGCTGATTTCCTGCTGTCTTTAACATTATGTTCTATGTAGGTTGTAACACAAGATTTGATTGGATAACAACCTGGGTGTAAATTTCTGTGTACACAGCTGGGGTTAATGATTTAACATCACAATGAATTCTGTAGATTCCTAAATAAAGCACCAAACGCGAAATAAATTTACTCGCCTTTATTTTTATGGTATTGAAATCTATGTAAAATCTTTGGATCCAACGTCCATTTGCAAATTATTATTCTTGCGATTTGCTGTTGCAAAGCCCATTCACGGTAATAAGTACTCGCAGAAAATAAGGAATCTACAGTTGCAAAAAACTAGATAACATAATGCATTGTAGCTGGTTGTTTTAATTTTTAAAATAAATTATTGACATGAAGAAAACAAAAGTTAGCTTACAGATGTGTGCTAGGCAGTGTAATCTTCATACTGACATTGCACTGGGATCATCTTAATATGTCTTATTAACTGTAAAGGGAATAATTTTAAACTGAATAAGTTAAAACCTTAATTATTTTTCCAGACAAAAGACCACTATAACGTGGCCCTGGTGGAGCGCCTCATCAGGATCATCACGCTTGCTTGTCAGCATGGTAGGTCACTGTACAGTCTTGTTAGAAGTTAAATATAAGAACTCAGAATGCAACCCTGAAGTCATGGAAATATGTTTTCTTTGAATTTTTCTTTGAGGTATAAGGTATAGAAGCGTGTTGTTTTGAGAATATTTGGGTAGTTTACCCAAAATAAGGAAAAGCAGTTTTTCTTTTCAAATTATACAATTTCAAAATGTGAAATTTTGCTCAATACATAAATTTAGTATTTTTAAGGAACAAAACTGTACTCTTAAAATGATTGTTACTTTTGATATCGTACTATGGATTGATCTTTACAGTTATACTAAAAGTGGAAGTACACTTTAATTCTCTGTAAAGATAAAATGTTTTTTTATCAGCATCATAGATACATGTTACATACTATAATTGCTTGGATAAATTTTATCTTTATTATTCATGAAAGTTAGAATGATGATAGAATTCAGATTCATTGAAAATTTTCAAGAGTTGAACACAATCCAACTTGATCAGGTACATTGTATGACATCTTTCTGTGTTTTGTGTTGTAGGAAGTAAAGTCCGTTTGGCCACCCTGGAATTGACAATCCGTTTACTGAAGTTGTTAGTGTACAAACAGGACCAATCATTTCTACAGGACCGACACCTGGCCTGTATAGAAAACGCCAGAGAATGTAGCACCCAGCTGCTCAGAAACTTCTATAAGGTAAACAGATTAAAACAATGAAACTCTTGAGCATTTGATAAAATCCAATATGAGTTATTCCACTTTGTATTAGAGAAGGAATACTAGTATTAGAGCAGTAATGATTGAATCATTTTCCAAACAATATTTCTGTAAATAATAATAGACAAATAGACTCAGCAGCTCACATCACTGTTTTGCAGTAATTATTCAGGAAGGATAACTCCCTTCCATCTGAAAGGTTGCATGTCTGGTTAGGAAGAGTTATCTTTCTTTGACTATCTTTCTTATATTTTTCAGAGTGAGGAGATTTTCTTGGATATGTTTGAGGATGAATATACACAAATGATAGTAAGTAATTTTTAAACTACTTATTTTACTCAGTGTAAGATTGATTAAGATAATAATAATTATGACAATTTTGTTTCTGCAAAAGAGGCTGAGGTATTATAAGTGTGAATAACATGATAACAAAATACTGATTACAATAAATGTACAAAAAACATCTTTAGTTAATTTATTTCTTGATGTATGTCTTTAAAAAAAACTAACAGGCAGTGAAATTGATTGCACTTGGAAATTTATTTTAAAATCCTTTAATTTAATTGCATTAATAGCTTCCTCACAAAATGATTAAGTTCAGTCCAGTGTTCTGCATGATTACCAAGTGCCATTTAAATTTCAGTATTTTTTATTTGCTCGTTTTACTTTTACTTTTCTATTTCTAAGAAAATATAAACCATATTTACTTAAGGTTTAGGAAAGATTATGTAAATTCTAAATGTGATAAAGGGAAATGTTATTTACTGGATATTTCTATGAAAGTATATGTTGATTCATTGTAGATCATTTAGATTAAAAAAAAAACATGCACAACAAATTCAGACATTGGCCTAAAGTAAAGGAAACCCGTGTATTTACTTTTCTGAGAAAAATCATGTACTAAACACAATTCAGATGGTTCAGATAAATTTAGGTAAAGCTCCTTTTACGGTACTGGAAAAAAACTCTCAATGAAGATAAAATCTTAAAGGTGACTTCAAAGCATTTAGAATAAGACAAATAAATCAACATGTACACTTGACAGCCTGTCATATTCCATCAGATTACAAAGAATATTTTTAATTTACTTAATGAACCATGTTTTTGATTTAGAATAAAAAAATTATCGGTATATCTTTTTTTTAGGGAGTTAATGTAATTCTTTTTTCTTCCAAGGATTCATTAACCTTCTTACAATAAGTGTGTATTTTTACTGTTGGAAGTACTACTGCCAAGTAACTTTTAATAATTAAGAAATAAGGTATCATTTTTAAACATATTTTGGGTTATAAATACGGGTTGGTCACGAGGTTAAATTCCTTAAAGCCCGAAGGGCTTTATGAACTCGTATTTATAGCCCGATAGATGTTTTAAGATGATACCTTATTACTTATATTTACATTTGTGACTTATTCATACTTTATATTTGCCTGATTGTGACTTTAAACGTGTAAAACGCATTATTTTTTTAAACCCAACGGCATGTATGTAATCCACTGAGCGCGTCAACCCTTTATGACATCACTGAGAAATAGGTCAAACGTTTATCCATATGCACATCTATGACCTCTTGACCCCGTACCGGTACTTAAACAGTTATAGATACACATTGCTTTCAGTAGTGTTATGTAAAGGAAAACATTTGCAAATGTAAATATTACTCTTTAATCAAAACTGTCACATCCATATCTATTTAATAACAAGTTAAGATGAGGACCAATAAGGTAGAGAGATTGGCTTTGTATTACTGTAGAACACATTTGAGACTTTTTATAATTACATGCACTTATGAGCTATCTGTGCCCTCAACCAAAATTTGAGAAAAATTCAAAAATCATTGTCTTTAGACATCATTATGTATATTTATTGTAGAATCGTCCTCTTAATGTTGAGTATTTGACAATGGATGCCTCCATCCTGCTACCCCCTACAGGGACACCTTTAACAGGCATTGACTTTAACAAAAGATTGCCATGCGGAGAAGTGGAACGCTCCAGAAGGGTATGTCAGTTTGTAATGTGTTTATCTGTTCAGATTTTGTCCATGGTTCTTTGATGCTTCACTAACAAATTCTTCTCTGAAATGTTTTGTTAAATGTCAGTTTTTAGCTCGCAAAGAAAAGCTGGGCTTAAGATATGCCTAAGGGAGTAGATTCATTCCAGATTAATAATAAAACCAACCCTTACCAAAGTTACGTGAATGATGCATTGAGTAATGGACTTGCTTCAGATGCCTCATAGGTATATTTTCTGTATGACAGACAAGTTAAGCAGTTGCAAGAGGTCCATTCCCATTTTTCCCGGAGCTTAATGAGGGGCTGACAAATCCCACTATCTGGAGGCTTGTGAATTTAAGAGGTGGGCAAGTGAAATTTTATTAACCACTTGCCCGTGGTCAAGTGACTTAACAAAAATAAATAATATGTAAGTCATTGATTTAAACCTGTTCACAGGGCCTTGCATGGACTACCCAGTATTTGTCTTTCTATTTTTTGAAAAATTTATAAATCCACTATTAGTTATGGTAGGGCAAGCAAAAATTTAGGTAGGGCAAATGAATTTTGACCATGTACCTGCCCTTGGACAAGTGCCTTAAAAATCTCTTTGTCAGCCCCTGGCTATAATGCTCAAACTTGAATGAAGGCTTCATCTTAGTCTTCAGCAATGCCAAAAAATAGCTTTGGTTGATCCAATTTTTCTACAGTCCCACATCTGTGTCTCAAATTTTAACTTTGAGATTTCGGACGATTCAAGATTACAAGGTTAAAAGTCATACAGGAAATGTAGTTAGGCAAAAAAAAAATTATTCGTTAGTTTTTCAAACCAAAAATTTTCTAAATTGAATATGACAGACATTTTTTATTGCATTACCTCCCTTTTCCCTGTAAAGGGAGAAACTTCAATATTTTACACTCGTATTTTTTGGATATCAATAAACTTTAAAATAATGTTATTCAAAAATTAATACAGTGTAATTAAAAGTTTATGGATCAGATGTTGCAAAAGAAATACATTTTAATGTAATTTAAAAAGCCTGGTTTTTAGAAACACGATATAAAAGAGGAATTTCTTTTTCAACAAAAATAAAAAAAAGTTTTTTTTCCCAAAGCAATATGTGAATAAGATTAATTAATGGACGTAATTTTAGGAACTGATAAGGTTTGGTGCATGAGAAACTAAAGATATTTTGGGTGGCCCAAGGATCATTTTGATTCATTCTGTGTATTTGACATTTCATTATATAAAATTAAGTTTTTAACTTATTCCTGGTAAGTGGCCTATTAAAGCTTTTTAGCAGATCTCTTCCTAAATAATCATGACTTGCATAAATGATGCATCCGATGCAACACATGAGGTTGTTGAAGGTGACATATATTTTTAATTGTTTAATAAAAGGCTTATCGTTAACTTACATCATACTTATAACTAATGGATCTTATGAAACATTTATCTTATTTGTGACTTTAATTTGCCTTACTTATAAATAAGTAACATTTCTTGTTCATGAGTCATTCCAAGTAAATTCCTTTTTATCTCCAAGTGAAGTACCATATAAACTCCCCTATAAGTCGGATTTTTTGGAGTTAATTTTTGGTCCAAAACTCTATGTCTGACTTATGGGTGAGTTATAAAAAGACTGGTATTTTAGATGGTTAATCCCTCTGATATAAGTTTCAGAAATACAATCGACTTGTAGGTAAATATATACGGTAAAATACTTGATGATTGTCGACAGTATGAAATCTTATTTAACCTTATTTAAATTTAGACATGCAACTATTTCCAAAAAAAATGCATTTGTTATATTGCAGTTTTATGCTACTGCAGATGCATGTTGATTATTTTGAAGGTTGTAAATGTGGAATGATTTGTTATTTTGATAATTAAATGCAAAAACAAGGTGTCGATATGTCATTTAGTACATATGATGTTCATATGTCATTCAGTGCTTTCAAGTCTTTCTTGGAACTTTTTAATTTTTTTTTTAATTTAGCTGTCAACATTTTTTGGTCAAATTGTGTTAATTGCAGATCTAGATTAATTTTAATACAGTTTTGTTGTGCATTTGATGATATTTGCAGGATATGCATTATAAATGAGTGTTATGTATATTTCTGAAAGTGGTAAAAAAAAAACGTTGTATATTGTGGAAATTTAAAGGTTGTAACTAAAAATTTAAGGAAATGGGGAATATTTTGGTACTTTATCTGCATATTTGAAACATTTCTCATCAGATTTTCTGAAAATTGCAGACATTTATGTAAGAAAAAAAAATTGAAGAAATAAATTTGTTTTTAAAAGACGTTCCATTTTTATAACTAACTGTAACAGAGAGATAAATCATATTTTCACCACAGCTTATCAATTTAAGTAGTTGTCATTCAAGTTTTAAATTGTTTCCCTTTCATCATTTTACAATTTTGGCAAGCATTTAAGTATCTGTTTATAAGTTGTTGTTGTTTTTTTTTTATCATTGATTTCCTGGAAGTTTATAAAATGAATGTCTTGCATAAATATATTTGTTGATAGAAATATTCTTGGGAATAAAAGTGCTTTAGCATAAACCATTAACTGCAGCCTATGTAACTCCTATTACTGTTAGTCCTGTTTCAGGTTTCAGTGTGGATCTGTTGTTAGTAATTATAGTTCTTTCTCATGTTGCAATGGGGATCTCAAGTTTCTGAAGTGATTCTCTTAAAAAAATTATGTTCTGTATCTCAAGACAGTGAGAAGATATATATATATATTTACCTTAAAAAATTATGATGAAATCTAATAGATTTGAAGGGGAAAATTAAAAAAAATAGTACAATATATAGTCAGTCCAGCAAAACAACGATTTTTCCAAATAAAGAGATATGTGTGTCTGTATGGTGAAATTCACTTTTCAAAGAAATATGACTTTTATAGTGCGTATGTTGAGAAAAATTGCATATCTTGTTTCTCTGTTTAATGCATATTTAGTTTGTTTCTGAAAAACTATAATCCTTTATCACTGGAAAAAAGGAAAGTAAAATTCCGTGAATGAACAAAATTTTTTATATATTGATTTTTTTTTTAATCCCTGCAAGCAAAAATTAAGATAGAAGGATTTGTGCTTTTTATATACCGGTACATGGATTTTGCAAAGTTGATTTGATCTGCCGAGTCAATATGGATAAATCCCCCCCCCCCACCATGTATTTAAACCTTTTTTAAAAGCAGTACTTGTGGTATTACACTTTTTTAAAAAAAAAATAACATTATATTGTCAAACCCTATATGTCATTTCTTGGAATGATGTATAACCATTATTTACTTAGTTGTTAGGAAGTCGCATTACAATGGCCGCATGAAAAGAATTTAAAATCTTTTGTGTTTTATTTTGAATCATTTTTTCTTGTGTAAAGAAAACTAGAAAAGGATATTTTGCAAAAAGAATTAGGTCTTGGAAGTATTAATTTCAGCAGACTTAATTAAGCAAATATCTTCTGTGGCTGTTATCAGCTAGATTTTGTCGATTCGGTACCAGAGTTCCTTGTTACTTAATGCTGAGCTACTTTCTGTTTCTCCTCCCCAGTTCTTGGAATTTAAATGGATCAATCTTAGGTCACTAGGTCAGTTCCCTTGTAAGTAAAGTTCAAATAATCTCTACTGCTTGATATCTTGCATTTTTAGAAATCAATTTTTAAAAATGCAGAGTTTGCAAATATGCAGCAGAGTTCAAGAAGATTTATTAAATGTGAAGGAATGCATAGACTTAATGCTCCATTTTTGGATCCTTCTGCAATTCCTCTAGCAATCTGGAAATCCTAAAAATTTTATATGCAATATCAAGATCTAAATATACATGATAATATTAGGTATATAAGACATTAGAACAAAAGCAATGCCTTGGTGTCATGACTCAATATTAAAGCTACGTATGATACATTATTGTCAGCGTCTAGAATTTGACAGCTACCCAGAGTGGCTTTTATACAGGTCTAGTAATCAATATTAGAAAAAAGGAGGTGCTGTTATTGATCAACAATCATGTTCTTCTTTCTTTCCAGAAATTCAAATATTTGTTTGGTATCAGTTTTTAGCTTCAAGGCTAATTACAGATCACATTTTGTGCCAATATGAGTTTCCGTCTGTAAAAAACATTTTTGACTTCTTCTAAGGACACACAATTTTAACCAATCTTGGTACAAAACATCATTGGGTGATGGGGAGTTTAAATTATTAAAATGAAGGGCCAAGTCCCCTCACAAGGGGAGATAATCAAGAAAAGGCAAAAATAGGGTGGGGTCATTAAAAAATTTTCTTCTCAAGAACCACTGGGCCAGAAAAGCTGAAACTTATGTGGAAGCATCCTGAGGTAGTGTAGATTCTAAATTGTTCAAATCATGACCCCCGGGGGTAGGGTGGGGCCACAATGGGGAATCAAAAGTTTTACACAGAAATATATAGGAAAAATCCTTAAGAATCTTCTGCTTAAGAACCACTGGGCCAGAAAAGCTGAAAAATATGTGGAAGCATCATGGGATAGTGTACATTCAAAATTGTTAAAATCAGGACACAATAGGAAGTTTTACATAGAAATATATAAATACTTTAAAAATATTCTTCTCAAGAACCACTGGGCCAGAACAGCTGGAAGCTTCCTTGGGTAGTGTAACTAAATTATTCAAATTATGATGCCACAATTGGAAATCAAATTTTATATTTCATAATATAAAATAAATTTTATAATCATATTACAACAAAAGAGCCAAATTTAACATTACAATTATAGCATTTTCTTCTTTATATAACACAACTGATTTTATTGAGTGACTCAAAAGTTTGTACTTTGTATTCATAGTAACATAAGAAAAAAAAAATCTGTCCTTGTAATGTATTGGGTTTTATAACGTAATGAATACTGAATTCAAAAACTTACTTGCTCAACTCAACTTTGGACCATATAATATTTTCTAAAGAAATATGAATTGGAGTCTTATTCATTAATAAAATAAAAGATAAGAGTCTATGCTA